CCCTCCGTTTTGAATTGCTTGGAAACTTCCCGAAAAAGTCTCCTTTTTTGGCTGAAACGCCTTCTGCGTTTGGGTGTATGCCCGAGCAGCATTGCCTGAAGCGGGGCGGACATTGCGTCTGCAATGGCGGGCGTTCCAGAAGCTTCTGTCGGGCCGGGGCTATTGATCACCACCCAGTTTTCAGCACATGGGCCCTTGTTGTTTTGGTTTAAGGTTTCTTCCCGCGCAGGGGGGTGGGGGTGCGAGGCGGAGAGACGTTCACAGGCACCAGACATTCCCATCCATCTTCGCCTTTTCTTGGAGGAGAGGGGTGAGGAGTGAAGGCTGAGACAGTGCGGGAGGGGAGGCTGGCCCACGGGGGCCACTCCGAGCTCCCTGCGGCCGCCTACCCACCCCCACGTGTCCGTGTGTTTGCAAGTACGTGCCCCCACGCGGGAAAAGGCTCCGAGCGGACACTCCAGGTGACTCGTCTCCACGAAGGTTTCTCACCCTCAGCACCGTGGATGACGGGAACCAGATAATTCTTTGATGGGGGCGCCTGTCCTGTGAATGGAAGGGTATTTAGCAGCATCGCAGCGTGTGCCCTTTCCATCCGTACCCTGGCAATCAAACATGCCTCACCCCCACCCCTGAGGTGAGGCTCAGTAGGTCGTGCGCCCTTCCACAGCGTGAAAGGTCGCTGGTTCGATTCCCGGCCAGGGCTTGGTCGCCATGTGAGAGTCAACTGATCAATGTATCTCTCTCACCTTGATGTTTCTCTCCCTCTCTTTCTCCTTCCTTTCCCCTCTCTCTAAAAATAAGTAAATAAAAGGGTTTTTTTTTAAAAGATTTTTAAAAAATGTTTTCAGGCCCTGGCTGGCGTAGCTCAGTGGATTGGCATTGCAGGTTCAATTCCCAGTCAGAGCACATGCCTGGGTTGCAGGCCATGGCCCCCAGCAACTGCACATTGATGTTTCTCTCTCTCTCTCTTTCTGCCTCCCTTCCCTCTCTAAAAATAAAAAAATAAAATCTTTTAAAAAAATGTTTTCAGACACTGTCAGATGGGTCCTGAAGGCAAAATCGCCCTCACTTGAGAACCACCGGTCCAGACCCCGCTGTAAGGCCGTCTTTTCCCGGGCGCCCACCCTCACTCCTGCCTGACTGCCCCGCCCCCTCCACCCACGGCCTCTCTCCCACCGGCGCGAACCAGGCACCAGGCTCGTGGGACAACTTAGCCTCAGACGGAATCGGCTGGCCGCTCAGCAGCCAGCGAGCTGGCTAACCTGGGAGCTGGTTTGAAAGCAGAGAGCGAGTGGTGTCCATTACAGTGCCTGGAATGTTCTAGACGCTCAGCTGAACAAACAGACAGCACGGTGCGAAGAACAGAGGACACACAAAGGGAATGCGTCACCGGAGAAGCAAAAATACAAGGAAGGACTAAACCCCAAAAGGGTGGCCCAAGCTCTGGGAGCCCAATTGGGCAGAACAGGCCCTCCTGCCCGGCTGGCGGGTGTGGCCACATCCAGCATCGTGCCCGCGGGCCCGACAGTCTCGCCTCCAGGACTCCGTCCCAGATGCGCAGTGACCAAAGGAGAAAATTATGTTTGCACAGAGACGCCCTGCGGCGTTCCTTTGGTTGCAAAAGATCGGAATACACCCGAGTGCCATCCCCAGGGCCCCGGGGAAATAATCCCCGGTGAGTCACACACCGCAGTGCTCCGGAAAGTTCTCTGGGCGCTGGATGGAGGGGTCCCTGGGACAGATCGCTAAGGAGGAAAAACGAGGGCAGAGTAGTGTGTGAAAAGCTGCCTTCTGATAGAAGATGCGGGGGGGACACCCCACATAGTTTATTATATTTGCACAAAGCAAAGCTGAAGCATAAAGCCAAACTGACTTAGGAACCGGGTCCCTGCGCCTGGAGGGAGAGAATAAGAGGAAACAGGGAGTACGGAGAATGATCCAAAGAAAAGGGTGACAGCGTGGGTGGGAGGGGTGGCTGGGTCACTGGGCCCTGCGGGACACCTGGTGCGTCAGGCCACCCTGCCCGGATGGGGGGGTCAGAGCAGCCCCGCTAACACACGGGAACAGACACAGGGAGGCTGCCAAACACGAGGAGACAAAGAAACATGGCCCAGATGAAAACATAGATGAAAACTCCAGAAAAAGAACTAAACAAAGTGGAGATAAGCAATCTGTCAGATGCAGAATTCAAAACCCTGGTTGTCAGGATGCTCATGGAACTTAGTGAGGACCTTGGCAGCATAAAAAAGACCCAGTTGGAAATGAAGGACACCCTGATTGAAATAAAGAACAATTTACAGGGAAACAACAGGAGAGTGGAGGAACCTGATAATCAAGTCAATGATTTAGAACATAAGGAAGCAAAAAACAACCAATCAGAACAACAAGAAGAAAAAAGAATTAAAAAACAAATGAAGATAGTGTAAGCAGCCTCTGGCACAACTTCAAGCGTTCCAACTTTTGCATCATAGGGTGCCAGGAGAAGAGAAAGGGCAAGAAATTGGAAATTTATTTGAAAAAAAATAATGAAAGAAAACGTCCTTAATTTGGTGAAGAAAACAGACATGCAAGTCCAGGAAGCACAGAGAGTCCCAAACCAGATGGATGCAAAGAGGCCCACTCCTAGACACATCATCACTGAAATGTCAGAAGTTAAAGATAAAGAGAGAATCTTAAAAACAGCATGAGAAAAGCAGTTAATTACATATGGGGAGTTCTCATAAGACTGTCAGCTGCTTTCTCAATAGAAACTTTGCAGGCTAGAACAGACTGGCCAGAAATATTCTAAGTCATGAAAAGCAGGTACCTACAGCCAAGATTGCTCTACCCAGCCAAGACCTCATTTAGAATGGAAGGGCAGATAAAGAGCTTCCCAGACAAGAAAAAAACTAAAGGAGTTTATCACCACCAAACCATTACTATATGAAATGTTAAAGGGACTTATTTAAGATAAAGAAGATCAAAACTATGGACAATAAAATGGCAATAAATACATATCTGTCTACAATTAAATCTGAAAAACAAGCTAAACACAGAAGAGCAGAGACAGAATCATGGATACAGACAGCGTTTTGATGGGTGCCAGATGGGAGCAGGAGTGTGGGGGAACGGGTGCGAGGTGAGGGGATCGGGAAGTACAGACAGGTAGTTACAGAGTAGCCCTGGGGACGTAAAGCACAGCACAGGAAATGGAGCAGCCAAAGAACTTATACCATGACCCACGGACATGAACAATGGTGTGGGGATGGCCTGAGGGAGTGGGGGGTGCCGGGTGGAGGGGGGCAAAAGGAGAAAAATTGGGACAACTGTAATAAGCATAATCAATAAAATATAGTTAAAGATGTGATTTTTTTTACCTGGACATTTTGGTTATTATGACACTCTGGATCTTTTTTTTAAAGATTTTATTTATTTATTTTTAGAGAGAGGGGAAGGGAGGGAGAAAGAGAGGGAGAGAAACGTCAGTGTGTGGCTGCCTCTCACACACCCCCTACTGGGGACCTGGCCTGCAACCCAGGCACGTGCCCTGGCTGGGAATCAAACCGGCAATGCTTTGGTTCGCAGGCCTGCGCTCAATCCACTGAGCTACACCAGCCAAGGCTAAAGACGTGATTTTTTTAAAAGAAAAGGGTGAGTATTACTGTCCTGAATGGAATGGTATCTGGAATATCACTAAATAAAAATAGGCTCATTGAATTACCAATGTGTTCAGCTCAATCTCATGCTTGTACATTTTCTTGAAAATAATTTTTTTAAGATTTTGTTTTTTTATTTTGAGAGAGAGGGGGAGGGAGGGAGAAAGAGAGGGAGAGGAACATCAGTCAGTTGCCTCTCTCTCTCACGTCCCCAACTGAGGCCCTGGCCCACAACCCAGGCATGTGGCCTGACCAGGAATCGAACCAGTGACCTTTCATTTGTGGGGCAATGCCCAACCCACTGAGCCACGTGGGTCAGGCTTGCCTGTATATTTTTTTAAATGCACGTGTGTAGTCTTATAAAGTACAGAGAATGGAGCTGGAGAGGGGGAAGTATCTGGTTTTACTTTATACCCTTCCGTGTTGTTTGAAGCTGTTACTGTGACAAGCAATGACATTACTTGTTATTTAAAAATATATATATATTTTAATATATATTTATATTAAATATTTCTTATTAAATATATATATATTTAGTAAGAAAATCAGCTACACAAAGAAGTGCTGAACAGGGCAGTGTTGGTTCTAAGAGGCAGGTGAGTGCAGTGAAGGGGAGGAGGTTTCATGTGGACTTAGGTAGTCAGGGAGGGCTCCCTGGAGGAGGGGGTAGTGAGCCGAGCCCTAGGTGATGAAAGGTCAGCATTTCTGTCCCTGGATAAAAGTTAAATGTGGAAATAGTAGCTGAACATCCTCCCCCTTTCCCCTCTGTAAATGGGGAGCGATAGGGATCCAGCACCTGTGTCTAGGGTTCCCATGAGCACCCCATGATCTGTGGGTGCTAAGGAGCCTGGGTGCAGTGGACTCTCTGAACGGTGACTCTTACTGCTCTTTATTGGGTATCATTTTAACTCAACAACAAATACCGATGGAGGGATTACCACGCCCTAGAGCCGGGACCAGGTGCTAAGGACACGCCCCTGTCCCTGGACCCTCCCCGGCCGGGTGGTTGCCCCTCACGGCAGCAGGTGCCCATCCCCTGACTCCACAGGACAGAGCCTGGTGCTTTCGTTCACCATTGTGTAGCCCAGGGCCCTGGCCCTGAGCCTGCCACACAGGAGGGGCTCGGTGACTGTGTGTAGAAGAATGAATGGGCGAAGGAACGAAGGAGTGAATGAAAGGGAGGCGCTCCTGCGCCGTGCATCCGCGTTGGGAGACCCAAGTAGAGAGCTCAGTGCGAACTGCCGAGCATGCAGATGCCTGAGTGCCTTTGCCTGCGACCCCGGGTGCAGGGGCAGCCTGGCGGGCCTGGGGACACCCACCGCGCCCTGCCCTCCGCCCTACTGACCCTCAGGTTCCTCCCCGCAGGTGAGTGTCCCAGTCCTGGGCGCGGGAGCGCCACCAAGCGGAAGAAGAAGCAGCGGCGGAACCGCACCACGTTCAACAGCAGTCAACTGCAGGCGCTGGAGCGCGTGTTCGAGCGCACGCACTACCCCGACGCCTTCGTGCGCGAGGAGCTGGCGCGGCGCGTCAACCTCAGCGAGGCGCGTGTCCAGGTGAGGGCAGCCCCTCCGTGGGCCACCTGTGGGTCCGTGGAGCCACCATAGGCTGTGACTTAGGGAGCTGCCCCGGTGAGGTGTTTAAGAGCAGGAACATCTGAGGCCAGGAGGGCTGAGGTTCAAACCCCAGCCCTGCCACTTATTAGGTGTGTGACCTGGAGTAAGTTCCTTAACTTGTGTGTGCCTTAGGTGCCTCCCTGTAAAATGAGGGTCCCGTGGGTCTATTTTATAGGGTTCTTCTGAGAACTACAGGAGTTAATGCATCTGTAAAGTGCTTGGAGCTGTGCCTGCCGCAAGGGTTTTGATAGATAAAAGTCGTTGTGAAGTGTCGTGTTCACTGTGCCAGCTCTGAGCTGAGAGCTCCCCATACAGCTCTCTTTCGATGACCTCACAACAGCGAAGTGTCATTCACTGGCCGTTTCATCCACTCACGCCCCCATTCCCCAGCACTCTCTCCCACCCCCACGTGACAGATGCGAAAAGTGGGGCTCGGAGAGGTGAGGCGGCCAGTCCAGGGCTGGGGGCAGAGCAGGCACACGCTGGGTTCGAAGGGCCTCGGGTCCCCTTTGTGGCCCGGCTGCGCCTGCTCACCCCGCCCTCCCGCCCCCCTAGGTCTGGTTCCAGAACCGCCGGGCCAAGTTCCGCCGCAACGAGCGGGCCATGCTGGCCAACCGCTCTGCCTCCCTGCTCAAGTCCTACAGCCAGGAGGCCGCCATCGAGCAGCCCGTGGCCCCCCGGCCCACCGCCCTGAGCCCAGACTATCTCTCCTGGACGGCCTCGTCCCCCTACAGGTGAGAGCCGGGCCCCTCTCGGGTAAGGGGGGGCGCAGCTGGGGGACCCCGGGGGTGTGTAGGGCCCGGGCTCCTCCGAGCATCGGAAGAGACCTGTGAACGGTGCCCACGGGCCCCTGGGACCGGGGCCCACCAGGTCGTATGGGGGCAAGTGTGTGAATGTGTGCTCGTGAGTGTGCGTGGGGGTGTTGCATGAGTGTGCGCGCACCGGAGTGTGCGTGTGCACACGCACTCATGTGCACGTGAGTGTGTGGAAGGGCGAGAAGACCGGGCCTGTCTGGAGGGGAAGGAAAGAGGCCGCGCCACTCTCAGGCGCCCTGTGGGATGGCTGGCGCGAGGGCCCCAGCGCCGTGCCCACCTTCCTGGCCAGAAGCAGAGGCCAGAGGGGCTGACAGAATGGCCTCCCCATCCTGGGGACCCGGTGGGGTCCAGAGCCAAGTCCTGGGGCAGTTGCCCCTGGTCAAACCTGGAAAAAAGGCTCCCCGCAAGGTGGCAGGGCGAGGCAGAAGAGGGAGGGGGGCGCTAGGGGTCTGTTCCCCACCACTCCAGGGGGCGCCCCTTAGTCTGTGAGCCCTCTGCTGGAGCCCCGGTCTCCTCGAAGGTGAGACCCGCAGGTCAGCTTGTGGGACCGAAGTCCTAGTGACGCCTGACATCTCTCGGAACTGCCCCTGCCCTGTCCTCGCCTGGGGCAGGAGAATCACGTAAAGGCACCCTTAAATACGGGTGTGTTCATTCACCTGCATCCCACGCAGGCCCTGGGGTGAACGGGACCCAGGCTCAGCTCTCAGGAAGCTCCTGGTCCAGCGAGGAATGCCCACAGACCCACGGGGGTGGCTCCGTGTCGCCATGCTGGCTGTGGGTGCTTCTGACTCCTCCCCGAAGGCTGCAGCCCCCCCCCCTTCCCGCCCCCAGGGGAAGGCTGCCTGGGAGAGCGAGCTGAGGAGGGGAGGCGGGAGAGGCTGGAGTCCAGGACTGACAGCCAGAAGAGCCGCGGGCAGCATGCCGGCCACACCCAATGTGTCCTGTGTCTTATGTCACCCCCAGTACGGTGCCACCCTACAGCCCTGGAGGCTCCAGCCCGGCAACCCCAGGGGTCAACATGGCCAACAGCATCGCCAGCCTCCGCCTCAAGGCCAAGGAGTTCAGCCTGCACCACAGCCAAGTGCCCACCGTGAACTGACCACCCGCCCTGTCGGGACCCGGCTGCCTCCCCGGTCTAAGGCGACAGAAAAGAGGGCAGACACGCAGGAAAGTGACCCTCCCCTGTCCCTGTCCCCAGGAGGGGCGGGGGCGGGGGCCGGGGCTCTCCCGGCCCCTCCCTCCAGCCCAGGGTCCCGGGACGGAGAGGCTGCTCAGATGCCCGAGGCCCGGCTGGAGACTTGGGCCCGTGACCCTCGGAGGGGCTGGGCTGGAAGGTGGAGCAGGAGCTAACCAAGGACCTCATTTATTTTGTGTATTAAAACCAAATAGCTTTTGTCTTTAAGAAATAAAAAGTTGTTTAAGCCCAAAAAGGTTGTGGGAGGGCAGGTCCGGGCAGCAAAGCAATTGGGGGCCGCCATCCAGGGCCCACGGAGACTGCCCAGGCCCCGCTGGGGCCAGCGGCCAGCAGCCAGCGGGGCCAGCTGCCCACGTATCCGTCTCCTTCTGGATGAAGCCCTCCCTCACCCCACAGAGCCCCGGGGTGGGGACAGGGGCAGGAGGACAAGGAGCTGCCCCAGACCCTAGGGACACGCAGGTGTCTGCGCGACTCTGAGCAGGAGGACCCCTCCCTCCCCTGTCCGGTCAGGCAGGGGGCAGGGGGGTGACCATGGACTGGCCAGAGGGTGTATGGGACAGACGCTGAAATTAAATTCCCTGTTTGTGCACATACAAAAAGTGGGGGACCCCTCTGAGCATTTGACTGTGGAGGGGCCTGGGCAAATGGCCCGCAAAGTGGGGGCACAGAGTGGAGGTCCCAGGCAGGCTCACAGGACGGAGGAGTGGTCCCAACAGTCCAGGACACCACAAGGGCCTTGTCCAAGCCCCCCACCCCCAGCCGCCTTTCTGCAGGTGGTAACTGGGGGTGGCAGAAGATACCTCTGCCACCAGCCAGTGACACCGGTGATGAGGAGCTACAGAACACGGTGGGGTGAGGGCAGCGGTCTGAAGCCAGCCCCCTCCGCCTGGCCCTCTGCCACCCCTTCTAAGGGGCACGCCCTCCAGGGAAGGTAAAGGTCATTCCTGGAACTTCGCCCAGCCCCCGGGAAGTAGGAGAGCACTCCCTGGCCCTCGAGGGCGCCAAGATGACCAGCCCCTTTGTCTGGGTAGCCCACACAGTAACACAGTGGTCACGCCCTGGTCGGGTCAGCATTCTGTAATCCGCCAGCCCACACAGCCTCAGAGTGCCCCCTAGGGGCCGGCATGCCCACCTGCAGGCCACAGCTAGACGGCCTCAAACAGGTCCAAGCCACCTGACAAAGCCTCGCTTGAGGGAGGGTCCCCGTTTTTGTTTTAGGAAGTATGGTGACTATACCCATGAGCGAGGTGAGGACCCCTCCCCAGTCTCCCCCAATTCCCCCCTCGATGGCCTTCCTTGCACTCTACCTGGAACCCCAGCGTGAAAACGTGGTCCTTGTGGGCGGAGCTTGGCCCTCGCCTGATGTACAGACGTGCATGGGGATGCTCGCCACGTGACTTCCCGGTGGCTGGACGGTTGGGACTCTGTCAGCACCGAGGGGGCCCCGAGGGGGGACCAGGGGGGCACAGGCTAGGGCTGAAGCCGCGGGAGGAGCCGTGCTGCCCACGTGCTGAGCTGGCCCAGGCCCACCTGACTGAGGGGGCGAGGCCGGAGCCGGGGAGAGAGCCGCACCTGGACAGGGGCCCCGGCGGATGCAGCCAGAGCTGTGTTTTCTCACTGCGTTTGGGCTCTGCCTCGGGCAAGTGCTTTCTGGGCCTTCATTTGCCACTGATCACTGAACAAATATGTGAAACAGCCGTTTCTGCACCAGGCCCTGAGGACAAGGCAGAGAGGACTGACATGGGGTCCCTGGCTGCAGAGGCCACACCCAGCACAGGAGGCCCCAAATTTAGCCGAAGGCATCTAGGCAGACTTCCTGGAGGAGGAGTCCCAGGAGGATGAAGAGTTCACCAAACAGAGAGGAGAGGGACAGCAGTGTGTCTGGCTAAGGAAACAGCAAATGGGAAGGCCCCGGGGAAAGCCAGACGCTGTCTCTTTGGGGCGGGTCCAGGGCTGGGTCTCCCGGGGTGAAAGGAAGAGATGCAGGAGCCAGCTCTAGTGGGACTGGTGCGGCCAGATCTGAAAGTCTGGATGTCACCCTGGCACTGGGAAGCCATGGAGGGGACTTGCTCGGGGGAGGAAGCTGTGCCCTGTGCCCTGTGTGGAGGCCAGGGCAGGGGTCTAGGCGGGAGTGACAGCATCCTGGACCAGCTGGGGACCGGAAGGGCAGATCTGGGAGGCATCCTGGACACAGCGGGGTCGGGGGTCGATGATGAGATGATGGGCTGGGGAGAAGGCAGCAGCCAGGGGGCCAGGATCTGGCTTAGGCACCTGGCAGTACCCCGGGAGGAAGAAACCCTGGAAAGGAGACCTGCCTGCTAGAAGTCTCTGGAAGATGCTGGCTGCCCCCTTCTACCCAGACAAGAGTGGGGGGACCTCCTGGTCTGAGTAGAGTCCTCCCTCACACAGAGCCGACCCCTCCCGCCTGGCAGGGGGTTTGCACCAGCCAAGGGCTGGCAGGGGACCTGGAGCAGGGAGCTCCTAGGCAGCCAAAGAGTCTCTTTCCTCCCCAGAAGCCCTGACCCGGGAGGGGCGAGCGAGTGGCTGGGCGCCCGGCACCCAGGCACCGCCGTCGGCGCTCCAGCGCTCGCGCAGATACAAGCCCATCGGCCGTGCTCTGTGCAATCCAAAGCGGGGGTGGGTGCCCCGTAGCTGGCTAGGTGGGGGCAGTGTGCAGCCGAGATGGGGGTCACGGGGAATGGGGGCGGGCGGGCTCGAGCGGGAGGGGCGGGGCGGGGCGGGGCTCTGGCTGAGGGCCTGGAAGGCAGGACCCAAGAATGCCAGCCTCGGCCCAAGCCGGGGCGGCCTGGTTCCCACAGAGGCGCTGGCCCTGCGGTGGGGCGCAAGTATGTCAGTGTGACTTCCTCCCAAGCGCTCTAGAAAAAACAAACCGGCTTAATTGTTTACACATGTTGCTCTGGGGCGCTGAGGGAGGGGGCGCGCGGGCCCTCCCTGTAAAAGAAAATACATTCAGACCGTGCTGTCGCGTTGCAGCCCCAATTACAGGGCCGTGTGGGAGCCTCCCGGGCACCAGGCCCGGGATATAATTTTCCACGAGGGGCAGGTACCCACGGCCCCTTCCCAGGCTGGGGGAACGCAGAGCTTGTCTGTCTCCCTTTGTATCTGCCTTTTTTTTTGGCCAGTAAAGGAACTTCAAGTGAGAGAGAAATGGGGAGAAAGGCAGTCTGTCTCTTGGGAACCCCCAAACCTAAGAAATGAAGCCCAGAGCTTTACGCTGGCCGAGGCACTTCTCTGGTCCTCAGTTTCCCCCTCCGTAAACGGGAGTCACCCCGGAAGCCACTTCCCAGGGTTATCGGCACGTCGCCCTCCATAAATGGGTGCCTGCGTGTCTATGGTGAAGGAACACGGTGAGCAGTGGAGTCTGAGGAAGTCAAAACCCTCCCCGTCCTAGGGGGGAACTGGCACCCTCCCTGCCCAGGGAGCCCGGCACACGTGGTGCCAGGGGCCCTGGAACCTTTGGAGCGCCCGCCCATTGGGGACCAAACCAAAACGGTGTCTTCAGCTCCTGCACTCCTGCCCCCCGCCCCTGGAGGGCGCTGTGGGGTCACCGTCGGGCACGGAGCAGGGAGAACACCGCCCCCTCCCCACACAGATCACCGGGTGTGCAGCGAGCTCCGGACCCAGCCTGCCTTCTCTCGGAAGACAAAGAAACCAGCAAATCCCCGACCACCAGCAGGGGTCACAGCAAGGAAATCAGCACAAGCCTTCCGGAAAATGCACCAACCGCCTTGGAAATGTGGGCGCGCTGTCGCTCAGAAATTTCATGTCGAAGCCCACGTGGAGAAATAATCCGAAACGGGGTGGGGGTGGGGGTGCAGGGCAGTGTGTGCCCAGATGTCTATCACCGCAACGCCAAAAATCTGGGGAGACACACACCAGATTGCCAATGGTTTAAATCCCCTAGGGGCTCACGACAGTCGGGTCTCCTCACTGCCTGCGCTGTGACTGACAGCCCAGGAGAGAGACTTTAACACGCAGGCCGGTGCGACAGTGTCACCTGCACAAGCAGCCTTCGGAAGACGCACATCCGCGCTTGCTTCCCTTCTCCGTCCCCCGTGGCGCCTCAGCCAGAGCTGGACCCGATACCTGTTGCTGAGTGAGCGGCCCCCACCCCCCAGCTCGGTGGTGACTCCCCATCAGTCCTCTGCTCTGGAAGCTCTGTGGTCCGGACCCCCTTTCATAGCGCAAGCGCTGGAGAGAATGCGTTTGAGAGCTTCTCACCTCTTGGTTCGCCTCTTAGAAGAAGTGGGAAGGGATTGAGCTTGGGGTGTGAGGGGCAGCAGGGGGCACCTGGGAATCGGAAGAACCGAAAGGAGAGGTGGTGTGGTGGCCTGACGCTAGGACACCCCCGTGAGCCCCACCGCAGGCAGCCACGCCCCTGTGTCATCCCGGCCCCTGAGTGGAGGCGGAGCCTCTGACTTGCTTCCCACCAACAGAATAGGGAAAAAATAAAGGGACTGAGCAGATGCAATTCAGGTCCCTAATCAGATGACTCAGACTTAATCAGAAGGGAGGTTGCCCTGGGTGGGCCTGGCCTAATCAGGTGAGCCTTCAAAGAGGGCCCAGGTGTTTCCTGAAAGAAGAGATTCCAAGCAGAGGGACGTGCCCCGCTGGCCTTGAAGAGCAATGGCCTTGCTGTGAACCGCTGTAAGACTGCGGCGAGGGCCTCAGTCTTACAGCGCACGGAACCGAGTTCTGCCCGCTGTCTGGACGAGCGTGCACGGGACACTGAGATCCAGGGGGGCCTCGGCCTGGGGGAGCCCTTGACGGCAGCCTCGTGAGACCCCGAGCAGAGGACCCAGGTAAGCCGTGCCCAGACTCCTGACCTGCAGAAACCGCAAGGTCATAAGTGGTGTTGTTCTAAGCTCTGCTCGTGGCAACTTGTTACTCAGCCTAGAAAACTAACGCAGGTGGACAGGGAGCTTGGAAATCCCACCTTGAGCTTGGCCTCGCTCTGCCCGAGGTGCCCCAGAACCCCAGGTGATCTGCCAGGCCACAACAATGGCCTCCCGTCTTAACTCCTTCTGGGCCCTTCTGCACAAGCTGACAGATGACCTGCCGCCCTCTAGAGCCT